TTGTCAAAGTTCTGGAAGAACGCGGCGAGATGACTTCTCTGCACGGTCGTATTGCGATTGGGATTCTGATCATGCAGGACATTGCAGCCGTGGTATTCATCGCATTGTCTACCGGCCAGATCCCGTCAATTTGGGCCCTTGGTCTATTTCTCCTGATTCCTGCTCGGCATGCCTTATATGCGTTACTGGAGTCCGTTGGTCACGGTGAACTGCTGATTCTCTACGGGCTTATCCTGGCACTTGGCGGTGCAGAAATCTTCGAAATGGTGGGGATGAAAGGAGATCTGGGGGCGCTGGTGCTGGGTGTGATTATTGCCAGCCATTCCAAGTCCGAAGAAATGGCCAAAACCATGTTGGGTTTCAAAGACCTGTTCCTCCTGGGCTTCTTTCTGTCCATTGGTTTGTCAGCAGATCTGACCTGGCAGACGGTTTCCCTGGGCGCAATTCTGGCACCATTGGTCATACTTAAATCTGCAGCGTTTTTTGCACTGCTTACCGCCTTTAAACTGCGCGCTCGAACAGCCCTACTGTCTTCTCTTAACCTTACAAATTACAGTGAATTTGGTCTCATCGTGGCAGCGATCGGCGTGGAACGCGGTTGGTTATCCGGTGATTGGTTAATTGTCCTTTCCGTGGCATTGACCCTATCCTTTGTCATTGCAGCTTTGTTGAATGCCAATACCTACCAGATATACGCACCTTATCGAGCGTTCTGGCAGCGCTGGCAATCGGCGCAGCGCCTCGAAGATGACCGGATCCTCGACACCGGATCCGCGCGAATTGCGATCATCGGCATGGGTGGTATTGGTTCTGGCGCTTACGATGCCCTGCGTGAATCTGCAGGACCGGACATAGTCGGTATTGATATTGATCCTGACACCGTCGCGAACCAGCAACACATAGGGCGTAATGTATTATTAGGAGACCCAAGCGACGCGGACTTCTGGGACCGTGTGCAGGTTTCTCACAAACTCGAATTGGTGATGTTGGCCATGCCCGCACTGTCTACTAACCTGGCTGTGCTCGAGCGGTTACAGGCGGTTTCTTTCACAGGCCAGGTTGCAGCGACCGCCAAATTTCCGGATGAGGTCGAGATTTTAGAAGAAGCGGGTGCCAATATCGTTTTCAACGTATACAACGAAGCCGGCGTTGGCTACGCCAGCCACGTGGTTAATCAGGAGTAAGGCCAGAACATCAAACAAACTCGACTTCCTGAGGTTTCTTCATAAAGATCACCGCCAGTAGTATCAATGACACCGGGTATAAAAACCGGAAGTAATAGAGAGGAACACAGTCGCGCCCATCATCAATGTCAGAATGACATCAGTGCGACGGTACGCATGGTGGTCCTGCAGAATCAGTTGCAGGCCCAGATAAACAACAAACTGCCCTACACCTAACAGCAGAAACAAGATGTCCAATACGCCGAATTCGAGCCAGCGTTCGCCCGTTGAGGCCATTATCCCAAATTCAGTCAGCCAATAAACGGGGAAACAAAACCGCTACTGCGAGGGCCACTACCCCCGGAATCAGATAATCATGTTTGGTCATAATCTATTCCGTAAAATCTACTTGCTGATGTGACCATCGACCGGAGCCTCAAATTCAAGCTGATCGCCAGGCTGACAGTTCAACTCACGGCATATCGATGCCAGTGTGTTAAAACGAATACCCTTAACTTTGCCCTTCTTCAACAACGACAGCTCAGTCAGGGAAATTTTGTTCCGCGCCATCAGCACATCAAGGTTCACACGTATGTTCATGTCGACAATATAGTTGTTAAACAAGACTCAGGGTTGAAACACGCAACGTAGAAGAAGCTGCGTCACGGCCTGTAGGAGCGGATGTCATATCCAGGTAAAAACCGCCTCCCCGTGTTGCAGAGCGCCCGCCGATTTTGCGTTAATACTGGAAATAATTGAAAGGCCTTCCTATGAAAGCAACATCCTTCTTTCTATCAGCAGCGCTTATTACCTTGGCGACCAGTGTCTCAATACCTGCATTGGCTGTTCAGAATCAGCAAGACACCAAGGAAACCACGAAACAGGCAGGCAAAGATACTCAGAAGTACCAACGTGATGCAAAGAAGCAGACCTACGACGCAACCAAGAAGAAAGACAAAGCACAGAAGCAATACAAAAAGTCGTCACAGAAAAACATGAACGCCAGCTCAAAAAACGGCGATAAACAGCACGCTGCAAAAACAGCGACGTCGAAATCACACGACAAAGAAAACCAGCTGCGCAAAGAGCAAAGCAAAGCCATCAAGAACGACTATCGCGCTGAGCGTAAGCCGGGAGACGAAGGCAGAAAAAGTGAATCTCAAGGTGAGAAAAAACCCTGGTGGAAATTCTGGCAGCGCAGCAATTCTGCGGATAAAAACTAAAAAAAATCGCCTGCCAAACTGCAGCTGACCCGTTCCTTGACCAGGCCTTCATGCAATAATAGGCCCGCTCGCCGGTAACGATTCATCACGCATTCGGACGCGGCATTCAAAACGGCCAAAGTTCGAACATGTCGCATCAGGATCTAACCCAAGGCTCAGTGCCGGTTTCACTGGCCAGATTAACGGCCCCCATGGTTATGGGGGTTTCCTCGAGTATTCTTGTGCAGACCCTGGAACTGGGCTTCATCGGCCAGCTCGGCACTCAATACATTGCAGCGGTCACTTTCACATTTCCTCTGGCGATGGTACTCACCAGTATCGCCCTGGGTATCAGTATTGGCACATCGTCAGTAATCGCCCGCAGCGTGGGTAGTGGTGTTGGCGAAGACGTGCGGCAACTGGGCACCCACAGCCTGTTACTGGTTGGCGTGCTGATGATAGTGCTGTCTTTCATCGCCTGGTTATCGATTGATCCTCTGTTCAGCATGCTGGGTGCCAGCGACGAAGTGATGATATTGATTCACAGCTATCTGGATATCTATCTCCCCGGAACGGTGCTGTTCACGTTAAGCATGATTGCCGGCAGCATCATGCGAGCCAACGGCAGCGCCAATATCCCAGGCACGGTGATGACAGTAGGCGCGTTTCTGAATTTGGCGATCGATCCTATCCTGATTTTTGGCTTGTTTGGCTTTCCGCGAATGGAGCTGGCAGGCGCCGCCACTGCGATGACTATTGCCCGGGGGCTGACTACCGCAGCCTTGTTTTACTATGTATTCAAAGGCGACATGATTCAGATCAAATCTGTCTTTCGCGGCTTTGTTGCCTCTTCCAAGCGCATCATGCACATCGGCCTGCCGGCTATGGCCACACAACTGATTGGCCCGGTTACCGCTGCCATGATTACCGGCATGCTGGCAAAGCACGGAGAAACAGTGGTTGCTGGTTTTGGCGTGGCTGGTCGTATAGAAGCCGTCGCCGCCATGCTGCTGTTCGCCTTATCTGGTTCTATCGGCCCGTTTGTTGGCCAGAACTGGGGCGCCCGCCGATTTGGCAGAGTGCGTGATGGGGTTAAAGCCAGCTACCAGTTCTCTATCGCCTGGGGGTTTATTGCTGCGCTCCTGCTGTTCCTGTTCGGCGCAACCATCGCCTCGTGGATTGATGACGCCCCTTCCGTTGTCAGTGTTGCCGCATTTTATCTCGCCCTTGTGCCCTGGGGTTATGGCATGTGGGGGGTTCTGATGATGGCCAGTGCAAGCTTCAATGCCCTGGGCAAACCTTTACCCAGCACCGCGTTGAGTTTCCTGCGCATGTTTGTGGTGTACCTGCCACTGGCCATTATGTTGAACACAGCCTACGGCTATCAGGGTATTTTTGTAGCCACCCTGATCAGCAATGTTGTACTGGGCATCGCAGGGTGGTTATGGTTTAGAGTACGTCTTGTGAAAATGAGTAAGACAGCCTGAATGTTGATCCGCCGGCTAATCAGCCTGACGCTGCTGTACGCGTTTGCCTTTACGTTGTATGCAATAGCACCAGTGTTGATTGTTCTCGCCCTGGCGCTTTCTCTGACAAAACAGTTTCGAACCCTACCTCACGCCCTGCTGTTTGCGTTGGGGTTCCTGTTTTACGAATGTAGTGGCGTTCTGAGGCTGTTCTGGCTGTGGTGCCGATATCGGCACAGCCCTGAATTTCTGCCGCGTAATCAACAGGTCCAGTACTGGTGGGCCAACGGATTGCTGCAGTTAGGCATTCGTATTTACGATCTGAAAATTACAGTGAGCGGCAAGGACGCGCTCGAAGGACCCAGTGCGTTGATGATTGTTCGGCACACCAGCATCGCGGACACGGTTTTACCAATGCTGTATTTCGCGAAAGTTCGCAATGAAGGCATGCGTTATATTCTGAAAAAAGAACTTACCGCCATGCCGTGCCTGGACATCGCTGGTCACCGCCTACCTAATTTGTTTGTTGATCGCTCCGGCACAGATACCGACAGAGAACTAAGCGCAATCAAAGCATTGACTGCTACCGCGGGCCCTGAGGAATCAGTTCTGCTTTACCCTGAAGGCACGCGTTTCACCTTACAGAAACAAGCTCGTTTACTGGCATCGAAACCGGAACTTGCAGAACAACTGCGCCGTTGGCCCAGCTTACTACCGCCACGCCTCGGTGGCGTGTCAGCCATGCTGGAAGCCAATCCGGGCAAAGATGTGGTGTTCCTGGCTCACGTCGGATTTGAGGGCTCAGCGTCTCTAAGTGACCTGGTCAACGGCAGCTGGCGACGCCAGCCGATCTATCTGCATTTCTGGCGCGTACCTTACCGGGACATTCCCACCGACACTCAAGCTTTCATCTTTCACAATTGGGACATAATGCAGCAACACATCGACGCCATGACTCACATAGAGCCCTAAAAGGGCCTGCTTAACATGCAACAGCAAACCAAATACCCAAAAATGCATTTGACCGCGATGCTGACCTCAGATATCTTCAGGTCAGAACACTCCGGGAGAGGGGAGTGCTTCCTTAACCGGAAGTAAAGAAAAGGCCACCTAACGGTGGCCTTTTTTTGTTCAAAAAAGAGCGGTCTGAAACTACCGCCACTTTGCGCTCATTTAACATCCAACCAGTACCCACCGCCCTGCAAGTGCTTCACGTGTCCTGCTGTAGGCGTGGCGAAATGCGTGCCTATGATCAGAACATCCTGATCTACATATTTTTCCAGCAGCTTTTCTCGCGTTTGCTGGCCTGCATTCTGATCGTAGTCAGCAGAACTGCACCAGTCCGTACGCGACATCTGCACGGGATGATGAATACAGTCTCCGGTAATCAACGCTTCAGCGCCATTCGAACTGATATGCACGCTCACATGGCCCGGTGTATGTCCCGGCGTAGGTTCCAGTTGAACTTCAGGGCAAATCTGAAAGGTTTCACTGACAAGATCTACGACGCCGGCATCAACAACGGGCCGCACTGAATCCGCGAGTATCGGTCCATAAGTATCTTCATCTTCGTTAGCGTCCCAATAGCGCCATTCTTCCTCAGCAATCAGATACCTGGCATTGGGAAAGGTTGGTATCCATAGCCCATCTACTAGCATGGTATTCCAACCGACATGATCGACGTGCAGATGCGTGCACATCACGGTATCTATCGACTCACGCGGATAACCTGCTTCTGCCAGATCATCCAGAAAACGAGTCTGCAGGTTGCTCCATGCGGGTACGTTGCGCTGTTTGTCGTTACCTATACAGGTGTCCACGATGATCCGTCGGCTGCCGGTATCCACTATGAGCGCATGTATGCTCATGATCAGGTTGCCTTCCTCATCCATAAAATGCGGCTGCATCCAATCATGTTCCAGGCTCGCATCACGGGTCGCATCAGGCAGGATGAATTTAGTCCCTCCGGCAACTTCCATCTCAACTACCCGCGTGATTTTCACATCACCAATCTGCCATTGATTCATTTTGTTATCCCCTCTTTATCTTGAATACAGCATTGCCCAGCAATGCCTGAACTCTATCACAGCCCCCGACGGACACGGTAAAACCGACCTTTTGCATCGAACATACCACACCGTGAACTGTGGCAGGACGCATGTCGGTCTAGTATGGTTCACTCAGAAGAATAACTATGAGAATGTCATGGGCATCGTAGACGTCGTTTCCACCCTCACCCAGGTTCCCAGCCTGCTCAAACTTAAAAAAGGCCTTGTACCGCGACCGGCGGATACCGTCGACTGTTACGGTGCACGTGTGCAGGCAAATGCTGAGCGATTCCCAGATCGCAACGCCATTGTTTTCGAAGGTAAAGAAATCAACTGGCGTGATTTCAATGCTCTGGCTAACCAATACGCCAACTACTTCAAAGCCGAAGGATTACAGCGCGGCGATTGTGTCAGCGTCATGATGGAAAATCGCATCGAGTACCTGGCCTTGCTTATCGGCCTTAACAAAATCGGTGTTACGGCTGGCTTGATCAACACCAACCTGCACGGCCGACCACTAAGTCATTGTGTTAGCGTCACGCATTCGAAGAAATGCGTATTTGGCAGCGAAGTGAGCGAAGCAATCAGCGAAATCAGCAGCGAGCTGGATCTTGATGAAGGCGAAGATTTTTACGTAGTCCCCGATGGCGACAATCTTAATGGCTGTAATTGGGCAAAAAATTTATCTGAACAAGCAGCCTCTGTCGCGGCAGACAACCCACCAGACACGCAAAGCACAACGCTTGGGGAAACCTGCTTATACATTTTCACATCTGGCACTACCGGCCTGCCCAAGGCTGCCGTTTTATCCAACCGACGGTATCTCACTGCCGCAGACTTATCTGCCCAGGCTGGATTAAAGATCACGGAGAAAGATCGCCTGTATATCTGCCTGCCGCTCTATCATGCCACCGGCTTGTTGCTTGGCGTGGGCTCAGCGTTTGCTTCCGGCGCCAGCATGTTCATCCGTCGAAAGTTTTCCGCCAGCAACTTCATACCAGAAGTTCGCGACAACAATTGTACGGCCTTTATCTACATCGGTGAGTTGTGTCGCTACCTGACAAACTCAGAAGCAAAACCCGACGATCATAAAAACCCAATCAGGGTCATGATGGGCAATGGTCTACGGCCAGATATTTGGATGTCGTTTAAAAAACGCTATGGCATTAATCGCATCACAGAATTCTACGGCGCATCAGAGGGCAATGTATCGTTTGCCAACCTGTTAAACAAAAACTGTACGGTTGGCTTCACCTCAGTAGAAGTCACGTTGGTCAAATACGACGTGCATGATGATGAAATTGTGCGTGACAGCAACGGCTTCTGTATCCCCGTTCCGGACGGCGAGCCGGGCCTGATGCTGGGCAAAATAACTGAAGATACAATTTTTGAGGGATACACCGACCCTGAAGCCACCGAGAAAAAGATCATTCGGGATGCACTGGAAAAGGGTGACGCCTGGTTTAATTCAGGTGACCTCATGCGTGTTGTCGACGTAGGCTTCACCCTCGGCTACAACCATTATCAGTTCGTCGACAGAGTTGGGGACACATTCCGCTGGAGGAGCGAAAATGTCTCAACCAACGAAGTAGGAGAGATCATCAACGGGTTTGAGCAGGTCAAATTCTGCAACGTTTATGGTGTAGAGGTTCCTGGGGCTGAAGGGCGCGCAGGTATGGCTGCCATAACCCTGGCTGACGGTGTAGACCACCTGGACCTCGACGCTTTCTCAAAGTACGTAAAACAGGAACTACCCGCCTACGCAGTTCCGGTTTTTCTGCGTATTCAGCCTGAAATTGAGGTGACCGGTACATTCAAAATGGTCAAAGGTGATCTGCGTGAAGAAGCGTACAACATCGACCAGATCTCCGACCCGGTTTTTGTCATGGCAAGCGGCCGCGATAACTACCAGTTGCTTGATGACGTGATGCTGGCGTCAATTCGCGCAGGCGACGCAGGTTACTAAAACCCTGTGCCACTTCAGGGCTCTCGGGCAAAAAAGAGGGTTCGCTACAGCGTAGGGACGGGAGGGAGCTAATTCCCGAAAGGGAGCGAGCTGCTGTAGCGAACCTGATGAACAAAGCCGGTACTGCTGGGTCCGGCTTTTCATCACGATGCCTAATATAGTTGCCCCAAATGAACACAAACTGAACACCGGCCATCACTTATGACAAAAGCAGTTCTCCTGGATCTTGGCAACGTCGTGTTGGGGGTCGATTTCAGGCGTGTTTTCCGTGCCTGGGCGGCTGCGGCCCAGGTATCCGAACAGGTGTTCTACGATCGCTGGCAGATCGACGAGGCCTATGCTGATCACGAGACAGGAAAGATTGGCTTTGACGAATACGCGGACAGGCTGGCTGAGAGATTTGAGGTGAACTTGAGCCGCGAACAGTGGCGCGAGGGATGGAACAGCTTGTGGACCGAGCCTTTTCACAGCGTCATTGAACTTTTACCCGCCATCGCCAGCCGCTACGACCTGTATGCGTTCACCAACACAAACGATACCCATGCCCAATGCTGGCGCGCTTTGTACGGATCGGCGCTGACACCTTTTGAGCACATTTTTGTTTCTTCAGAAATCGGCGTGCGCAAACCTCATGTTGATGCGTTTCACTACGTCTGCAGTGCTGCAGGTTCTGAAGCCGAGCATACCCTGTTTCTGGATGACACCCTGGAGAACGTCAAGGGTGCTTTAGATGCTGGCCTGCAGGCGCATCATGTTGCCAGCGAAAACGATGTCGCTGGCCACTTACAGCGCCTGCTAGATCACTAGATAGATCGTTCGCAGCAACAACGCTAACAACACGAAACTGCCTAGAGCAAATACACCGAATCGGACGATGATGACATTGCCGGTAGCCTGCACAAGGGAGTGAACGACCCTGATGCCCACGTAGCTCCAGGCCAGAATCACTTGCACCGAGTCAACAGCACCCAACATAGCGGCGCATAAAGCCAGCGCATAAAACAGCGTTGGTTGTTCGTGTAAGTGGTTATAGTTGTCCGCCACCCGGGCAACTTCGGGTGGCAGTGTCAGTGGGGCGCCGGTTCGAGATAGCTCTTCCACATCTATTTGAGCTTTCTGCATCGCAGGAATTCTCGTTGCATACATCCAGAACCACATCACAAACGTCCAGGAAACAAGCCCGAGGACGGGATAAAGAAGAGCAGCTTGGGACATTTTTGAACTCCTTCAATTAGCTTGGCTTGGCAGGCTTATCCTGCAGATCTAAGGCTTAAGGAAATTTTCGTTCAATATCCGCACTTCACGCTGGGGATAAGGAATTTCCATGCCGTTCTCCTGGATAGAGCGCCAGATCGCGTGCAACAAATCTGCACCTACACGATTAGGTCCGTCGTCTACACCTTCCATCCAGAATTCAACCAGAATATCGATACCGTTATCACCAAACCCGGCGATTTCAGCATCAGGCCGCTCTTCGATCGGCAGATCATCACCGCTGATTACCTTCGGGTGTTCTGCGCAGAGTTGACGAATGTTTTCAAACAGGAGGTCGAGATCTGTGGAATACGCCACCTGAAACTCCAGCGGGTAACGTTGCTTGATGTTCTTATGTGTCCAGTTGGTATAAGACGTCGTTATGAACTGTTCGTTAGGGACCACAATATCTTTGCCATCATAGGTCTCCAGAACGCCGAACCTCATGTTCAACTCCCGCAGGGTGCCACTGCGGCCATCTTCAAGCTCGACGTGATCACCAATTGCGATGGAACGATCGAGCAGAATGATGATGCCTGATACAAAGTTGGAGGCGATCTGCTGCAGGCCAAAGCCCAGACCGACACCAAGCGCGCCGCCAAACACAGCAAGTGCAGTCAGATTGATGCCCATGATCTGCAGCAGCAAAAGGAAAATCACAACGAAGAGCGCGATTTCAAACAACTTGGCAAACACTTCTCGTGTGCCGATGTCCATAGACTCCCGACTACGGATCGCCTGTTTGCCTGCGGTATTGGAAATTCTTCCCAACCAGAACAGCACCGCGCCAAAAATAAGCGTGCGAATCAGTGCGTAGGCTGAGATTCGAATATCTCCAGCGGTCAGCGATATACCGTCGAGAAATGCAGTGACGTCATCAAGCAAGCCAAAGACATGCAGCGTCGCAATCGGCATGCCCAACCAGGTTAACAGTGTTTTTACACCGCGGTTGCGTACAAACTTCGACGCAACGGTGTAGATAAGAAAAATGACAGCCGCGCTTTGTGCCAGACGTATTAACCATGCCTGTTGCCAGATCGAGTCGCCCAGTGTGATCGCTATTTCCAGAAAAAAGATGTTCAGCAGCGGAAAAACAAATACCCGCAACCGATAGAAAAATGAGGTGACGCCTGAAAATCGATTGCCCACGGGCTCCCTGGTAAAAATGGGGACAGATCTGCGAATGACGGCTGCCAAGAGAAAAGCCAGCAGCACCGCGCACCCTATCGCGCCTATCTGGGCATAAAACTGTGGGCTTGTCGCCCAATTCGCAGTTGCCTGCCAAGCCTCGTCCATAAAATCGACGAGCGCCGCGCTATCGAATTCCATCAGAATACTCCTCAGACATGTGTTATCTCTTCAATGAACGCAAGCGTTTGTAGCGCATCCTGCCGTTTACTGCCGCAGATTTCGAGCTCGGGTTTAAATTCAGCACAAACCAGCGGCCGTCGAGGATCATTCCACAGACCACAGGCAAAATGCTCGTCAAGATGAGGACAGGGCATCCCCGCAGGCTTGCCATAAGGCAGGCCCGGTAAAGGGGATGAGATGGAAGGTGCAATACAACACGCACCACAGCCTGAACGGCAGTCCAAAATCGCTACGCTTCAGCTGTTGAACTGATGTGCGATTGCAGCGTACTGTTCCACCAACGGCAGTACCGTATCGGCATCTGCAGGCGGTAAGCCGAAAATGACGCGGTTAAAACCATCTTCAATCAGACCTTCAATGGCCGCGACATCGGGGCCTACGCCAAAAATACTGAAATCTGGTTCACCACTTCGTTTTGCCTCTGACCACGCTGCCCTGGTCTGCTCTATGCCCGCCTTGTAGTCCACGGCACCACTGGCGGAAGCTCGCGCAGGATTCTGATAGATCGGGAACCAGCCATGACCATATTCAGCAATGCGTTTATACACATACTTGGTTGAGGCACCCAGTAAAATGGGCGGCCCACCCGCCTGCACAGGCTTGGGATACGACCAGAGCTTTTCAAAATCAACAAATTTGCCGTGAAACTCAGCTTCTTCCTGAGTCCAGATCTGCTGCATGGCCAGAACTCTTTCGCGCAGTATTTTCCAGCGATCGGAGAACTCGGTACCGTGATTGGCCATCTCCTCCGCGTTCCATCCTGCTCCAACGCCAAGCAACAGGCGTCCGTTGCTGAGATGATCCAGTGAGGCCGCCTGTTTGGCCATCAGAATCGGATCCCGCTCGGTGACCAGGGCAATACCGGTACCTACCTTCAAGTTGTGTGTGACGCTTGCTGCTGCGCTCAGAGCGACAAAAGGGTCGTGGGTGTGCCAATACTCTTTTGGCAGCTCTGCGCCGCCAGGCCACGGAGAGCGCCGACTGGTTGGTATGTGGGTGTGCTCAGGGAAAAAAAGTGACTCAAAGCCAAATGCTTCTGCTTCCCGAGCCAGCGTATCAGGGCGAACGGCGTAGTCCGCCGGAAACATCAACAAACCAAACTGTGTCATCACATGCCCCTCAAATTTGCTTTTAACGTATCACGATAGTGCTGATAAGCAGGCAGCTGATCATCAAGGAGGAATTCAGCCATAGCACTATCCATCTTTTTCAGAAGTGCATTGCTTTTACTTTTGATCTTGCGTTTGAGGTTGGTCTGATTATTTTTTCGAATCAGACGATTAACTGCACTCGGAGCGAAAAACAGCGCCCGAACGAACTTTTGCATGTTCTATCCCCAAACCCTTTAGACCCAAGTTTAACGCGGCTGGCAATAAAATGACGAGACGCTCAGGAAAAAGAAAAAGAAGAGAACTTACAGTGCGGGATTAACGTCGGCGCCGGGGGCTTCGAGCGTGGTCAGATATCTATCAATTTTCTGCACGTAACGGGAAGCCGCCTCATTGCGATGATCACGAGCGTAAGGCCCCACGTTGTAAGCAGCCAACGCGCAGTTCATGTCTCCGTCGCAACGATCGAGCATATGAGAGAGGATCTGCGCGCCACAGTAAACATTCTGTTCGGGGTCGTGAAGCTGGCCACGAGCACCGCAGAATTCACCCCAGTATTCAGGTCTGACCTGAGCAGGACCAATGGCACCTACATGGGATTGCGCAGTTTTGCGAAAGGAGCTTTCTGTAACAACAAGGCTTGCCAACAGTTCAGGCTTGATGCCCTGCCGCTCTGAAGCCTCAAGGATCCAATCAGCAAACTCGTTAGCAACGCTGTCCTGAATGCCAAAAGCATCACTCACGCGATTGCCGAAATGAGCCACTTCGTTCTGTCTGATTAACCGGCTGGTTGCAGCTGGTGTAGCAAACGCAATGCGCTCATAGCCTTGATGAGCAATCACATTGCCCACTGAAAAACTGATGATTCCAAGAACAACAACGGTGCCGGCAAAACCCGCCAATGACAAATAAACTGCTTTTGGTAATTTTATACAGGCCTGGCCCAACGCTGTATTCGCAACCGCACGCTTAAAAGTGTGCAATCGCTTTGCGACGGTTACTGCATCGAATTGTTCTGAACGCTTTAGCGTCATGAATAGATCCCTTGCATTCCCTATCCCGTGCTTGCGTGCCTGCGGGCCTTTCGTGCGGCGTTGGTGTCTTTGCACCGGGACATCTTGATCAAATGTGATCCGTGTCCACTTCAGCCTTGTCGTGCGGCGCGTATTCTATATGGCACACGTCACACTATGAACCTCATTTTAGCTGTTAATGGGCTGTTTACAGGTGAGTGGCTTGTAAGCGCCTTTTAAGTTAGTGGCTACTTACGTAGGAGCACCATCATAAAGGACTTCAGGAGGTGGCAGACGGTCTCGAACCGACTGCCCTTATGAAAAATTAGTATAAAAGCGGGACAGATATTCCCGCCTGTATGCTAACCCGCGCGCAACGCCTGAATAATGCCTGCGCGCTGCTCTTCATCAGACACGGGGAAAGACGCGCTGGTTCGGTCAACAAAACTGCCATAACGAGACAGCATTTGCGGCGCGATATCTTTCGGTTCACCTACCACGCCAAATTCGTTAAGCATGTCGTCAGTAATCAGGGTGCCCATTTCTTTCCAACGACCCTGTTTAGACATTGCGTTCAGCTCACCCTGAAGTTCACCACAACCAATAGACTCCAGCACGCCTTTATAAGCGGGTGTAGAACCGTAAAAGGCAATACGCTCCTGCGCTGCTTTTTTGCTTGCCGCAAATTCAGCCTCATCTCTACCGGTGACAACAAAACAGGAATAGGACAACTCAAATCCGTCGCGAGTTTTACCTGCCTTGGCAAGCCCTGCTTCAATGGCAGGCATAGTAACGGATTTTATATAAGGCATTGTGCTGAATGGGTGAATGATCATGCCGTCCGCCACCTCACCCGCAACCTCAGTCATTTTTGGACCAACCGCAGCCAGAATGACACGCGGCGCGCCATAGTTCTTATCTTCCGGCGTAAACGCAGGTGTCATAAGGGTATGCTGATAGTACTTACCTACAAACTCTAACGGATCACCTTCGTACCAGTTGGACCAGATGGCTCGCATGGCCAGCACCAACTCACGCATTTGTGCTGCGGGTGCACCCCACTGCATGGAAAAACGTTTGGTGATGTGTGGCTTGATCTGCGAACCCAAACCCAGGGTAAAGCGACCTTTTGAGTAGGCATTCAGATCATGGCCAATATTGGCCAGGTTCATCGGGCTACGCGCAAACGCAACAGCGATAGACGTTGCCAACTCGAGCTTGTTGCTGTGTTCAGCCGCAAGTAACAGCGGGAAGAAGGGATCGTGGTTCATCTCCGCTGTGCGCACGCCGTCGTAACCTGCCGCCTCCATCTTTCTCACCGTATCAGGGATCTTGTCCAACTGATTACCAATACCTGCATCTACTTTCATCTCTACTCCCCTTTAGACAACCTGAAACTAAGCCGACAGCTCAGCAATAATTTTAACCCGATCGGACTTAGGAATGTTGGCATACGCAGCCGAGGTGCGATCAATGAGGTCGCCATAACGACCCTTGATCTGCCCGGCAATCGTATCGGGCTCGCCAATCACGGCAAACTCCTTCAGGATGTCTGGCGTAATCAGTTCACCCATCTCGTCCCAACGACCCTGTTTAGACATCATATTCAACTCGCCCTGCAGCTCTCCCGCATTGATGCTGTCAAGCACAGGTTTGTAGGCTGGTGTAGACCCATAAAAAGCGATCTGCTTACAGGTGGCCAATTGTGCCGCCGCCAATTCTTCTTCAGTTTTGCCTGTCACAACAAATACCGGATAGCTGATTTCAAAGTCTTCACGTTTTTTACCCGACTTGGCAAACCCTCGTTCTAACGCTGGCAACGTTGTTTCGCGCAAATATTTTTCGGTTGTGAAAGCGTGCACAATCATGCCGTCGGCTACTTCGCCAGCCACTTCAGTCATCATCGGGCCCACTGCCGCCAGAAAGACCTTAGGCGCGCCGTAACTGACATCTGTTGGGGTGAACATCGGTGTCATCAGTGTATGCGTATAAAACTTACCGGTGAACTCCAGTGGCGTGCCTTCATGCCACTTGGCCCAGATGGCGCGCATGGCCAGTATATATTCACGCATTCGTGCCGCTGGGCTGGACCAGGGCATGCTGAAGCGTTTGGTAATGTGCGGTTTGATCTGGGAGCCCAGCCCCAGGACAAAGCGACCTTTTGAAAAGGCGTTCAGGTCATGCCCGATGTTAGCCATGATCATGGGTGTCCGTGCAAACGCAACAGCAATCGATGTGATCAGCTCAACTTTCTCGGTATTCTGCGCAGCCACCAACAATGGGAAAAACGGGTCATGGGAGGTTTCCGCAGTCATAATGCCTGCATAACCCATCTCTTCCAGTTCCTGCGCCTGTGCGCCTACTGTGTCGAGCTCAAATCCAACACCACCATCTACTTTCATATGTCCCCCGATTGCCTTCATTGCTGGTGAGATTGCCCTCACCTGCCTCACTGATTACTGGGATAAGTTTCCAATCCTGGATCTGTCCGCAACAGACCGGAGATCGGCTCACTGTTTCCCATAAAATGATGAGTTTCTATGTCCTGAGCTGTGAAGGTCAAGCGATAGACCAAATCATTTGGATGCCGGGTGCGCGTGCATTCGATTTCAGACAGGCCAAGATAGAATTTTAAAATCACTTTAGACATCACCCCATGAGTGATCAATGCCACGTTCTCCCATTCGCTATCAAATAGTTCGTCGAGAAAACTGTGGGCACGCAGCAGCATATCCTGCAACGATTCACCCTGGGGCGGTGTAAACCAATAGGGATCTTCCTGTCGGCTCGCCCATGCCTGAGGATGGTGCTCTTGAATCTCTGCAAGGGTCAAACCTGACCAGTCGCCACAGTCACGTTCGAGCAGCGCATCAGCGAAATCAAGCGTTGCCTGGGTATAAGAGTTAATCAGAAATGCGGTCTCGGTGGTGCGTCCGGCCGGGGATACCCATAACTGCTCAACACCCCCAAGTGTTTTTATCAAGGCGCCATTTGCACTGGCCTGCTGGCGACCTGCTTCAGTCAACGGCGAATCCAGACGCCCCTGCATCCGGTTTTCCACGTTCCACTCAGTTTGCCCATGGCGCACAATGTAAACTGTTTTCAAACCCACTCTCGCAAAACGGCAACACGCCGCGAAGGGCCAAAGGATATCACCCTGCAGCGCTTAAACTTAGTCTCTTCAACTCAATCTACGCTGCCGGGTAAATAACAAGAGGAGCATCGCCAGTAAAAAAGGCACGCCTCGCTCCCACAGATCACCTGGACCATTTGGCAAACTGTAAAACACAACAGTAAGCCCAAAGCCGATCAAGATGGCTGTTGGAATACTCCACGGCTGATTGTGCCAGCCAAGCAAACGCGCGATAACAGGTGGTCCAAAACCGGCACCTAACGCATTCCAGGCGAACAACACGCGCGAGAAAATCGAATCCGGCAGCATCCAGGCGAGCAACACCGCAGCAATAGCCACCGCCAGCACCGCGATACGGGAGGAATAGCGGGACGTCTGTCCAGGCTGACGCCCGGCTTTACGCAAATCGTTATCGACCGCTGCGCCAGCAACCAGAAGTTGGCTGTCTGCGGTGGACATAATGGCAGACAGCACTGCAGCAACCAGCACACCGGTAACAACCGTTGGCAGCAGTTGATCAGCGACCTGAAAGAAGACCTGCTCGGCTACCTGCGGCCCTACCAGCAACACATGGGCGCACAAGCCGAGTACAAACATGCCGCTCAACACAAGCACAAACCAGGTCAGCGCTACCGCCCTTGCCAGTTTGATATCCTGTTTGCGTGCCATCGCCATGACGCGATTCAACAGGTGTGGCTGACCCAGAGGGCCGAAGCCAATGCTCAACATCCCCAGCATAAAGCCTATTGCGAACCAACCCTCGTGGCCACCCGACCAGATCCAGAAACCGCCACCTTGGGCACCAGCCGCCTTTTCAAGGCCATCGAATCCACCCACAGTCAGCCAGGCAGCAATTGGCAAAACAAGCGCCGCCACCAGCATGAGCGCCGCCTGCAAAGCATCGGTGATACTGACCGCCCAGAACCCACCCCACAACGTATAAACCAGCACCACGCCAGCACCGAGGAGCAGTGCTGTTAAAAAATCGACATCGAATACGGCAGTGAATGTATTGGCAGCACCTTGGAATTGCGCGGCGATATAGAACGTGAAAGAAAACAGGATGACTATGGCGCTGAGTCGATAAGTGAGCGACGCATATTTCTGCGGCAGCTGATGCGCCAGCATGTCGGTTAAGGTAATCCAGCGGTGCTGGTGACTTAACGTTTGCAGCCGGGGTGCAATCCAGAACCAGACGACGAGGTGCCCGGTAAGAGTGCCAGGCAACAGCCAGAACGCACTCAAACCCTGACTGAAAGCAATACCGCTTACGCCCAGGATAGACCAGGCGGAAGAGCTACCCGCAGCGTAACTTAACGCCGTAACCCACGGGCCCAGCGTGCGCCCACCAATGAAATAGCCTTCAGCCGTCTGCGCGCGACTGCGCGCCCAGTAACCTAAGCCAAGCAGCAGGCCCTGGTATATGGCCAGCGTAACCAGGACCGCCACTGAGGGCTGCACCTAAGTGCTGTCTTTTTTCGATGTGCGGTAATCGCCGTAAGCTTCGTCGCGTTTTGATAACGCCTTATTCAACCCTTCCCGTAACTCAGCAAGGTGAGCCTGGGTGGTAGCGGTATACGTGGCCAGCTGCTGCATTTCTGTACCGGCACGCAACGCTGCACGAATGCCCATCGCGTCCATCTGTCGGTGTACCGCGCGCTTGTTTATCTGTTGCAGATCTGAAGGTGTCATCGCCACCCGTTCGGCTACTTTCAGAACTTCTGCTTCGAGATCGTCCTCAGTGAATGCCCGATTGGCAAAGCCACTTTCCACCGCCTCAAGACCCGTCATGTGATCACCTGTCAGCATCAGCTCCATGGCCCTGCGCAAACCGACAATCCAGGGATAGAACTGATTGTCTGGCGGGCTGATCGAACGCACCACCGGGTAGCCGATCATGGCGTCTTCGGCGACGTAAACAAGATCGCATGCCGTTGCCAGTTCGGTACCCCCGGCCAGACAATACCCGTGCACCTGAGCGATGATGGGTTTTGCCATATCCCACATACGGAAAAAACCCTCAACAACATGCCGTGGCCAGTTTCCCAGACCACCCGGCGTGTAAAAGGGCTGGTCCTTTGCCACGTTGGATGACAGGTCGTAACCTGCAGAGAAGCAGCTGCCAGCGCCGCGGATAATAGTGACCCGCACGTCCGGATTGCGATCCGCAGTCTCCAGGGCATCAAACAGTTCCGCCCGCAGCTCATTGGACAGGGGATTTCGCTTCTCCGGGCGATTCAAAGTAATCCGGTGCACATGGGGCAGCGGATCATCTACCAGAATTTTGCTATATCCCATGATCCCGACTCCTATTTAAAAGCAAACTTGTCAGCCGTGAACGCATTGAAGGTGCGCTCAAGATCGTCACGATTACCTGCCAGAGGCGCGATAATATGAGTGTGCACCCCACCGTCGGCGTCTTCCTGAATACGCGCACGGATTTCGTCTTCGTTACCGATAATGCCGATCTCATCAATCATTTCATCGGTCAGCGCACCACTGGTTTTGGCTCGGTCTTTTGCTGCCCAGCCTTCTGTAATGGTATTGGCTGCCTCTGAATAACCCGCCCAGGCCAGGAACTTGTTGTAGACCGGCGTGGCATAATAAGGACCAAATGCTGCACGGAAGAGGTTGCGGCCGTACTCTTTGTCGTCGGTACACAGCACCATCGCCCGGTTCACAATCTCAACATCCGCAGGGTTTTTACCTGCTTTTTCAGCACCAATTTTGATGTGTTCCATCATTTTTGGCAGCGCGCCTTTGGGCCACAGATTGAAAATAACCCCATCTCCTACTTCCGCCGCCATTTCAATCATGTTCGGGCGCAGAGCAGCCAGATAGATCGGTGGAGGGTTTTCCAGGGGGGCTTGCCGATATCCACGGCTGTAAAGGGTTTCGCCGTCAAAGTCGGTTTTTTCCCCTTTCAGCATGGTGCGCACTAACTGCGCGGTTTCTTTGACGCGGGTCAGCGGCTTATCCAGCGGAATGCCGTTCCATTGGCCCATGATCGTCTGGCTTGAAGAACCCAGACCAATCACAAAGCGACCCGGAATCACCTGACTGATCACGTTGGCAGATGCTGCAATCACGGAAGGTGAGCGCGTATAGACCGGGGTTACCGCCACACCGATGCGTATGTTTTTGGTGTGGTGACCCACCGCGGCGATCTGCGTCATGGTATCCGGGGCGCCGGAATCGCTGAACCAGGCATCCGGGAAACCGTTGTCCTCCGCCCATTTCAGCCGATCAACGGTGTCTTGTATATTTGGTCCTGCCGGCAGTGTTACTGCAATTCGTTTTTTCAGCGTCATGTGTGCTCCCCAATCCTGGCTATATGAGTAAATTTTTAAGCGGGGCATAGACTCGCATTTTGCTTGCCCGCAGATCAAGCCGTATGCTACGCGTCCTTTGGAAAAATAGAGACAGCGACATGAGCGATGTAGAGCTCACCGCGGTACGCGATGCACACCGTTTTGACGAGAATGCCCTGGAAGCCTACATGGCCGAACATGTAGAGGGTTTTCAAGGACCCCTGACTGTGAAGCAATTCGAAGGCGGCCAGTCCAACCCGACGTTTCAGCTCATTACACCGTCAGTCACCTACGTTCTGCGCAAACAGCCCCCTGGTGAACTGCTGCCGTCTGCGCACCAGGTTGATCGCGAATATCGGGTTATGCATGCCTTGTGGGACACACCCGTGCCCGTGCCAAAAATGTACTGCCTGTGTGAGGACACCAGCATCATCGGCACCAAGTTCTACGTCATGGAGATGATCGAAGGTCGCCTGTTCACAGAAACCCATCTACCGTCCCTGACTAACGAAGAGCGTCGTGCCATCTACCTCGATCTTGCCAGGGTCATGGCACTGCTGCATGCCGTGGACCCTGACGCGGTCGGCCTGTCCGAGTTTGGCCGCCCGGGAAATTATTACGAGCGCCAGATTGGGCGCTGGAGCAAGCAATACCAGGCTTCAAAAACCGAGCAGATAGACGCCATGGATACATTAATGGCCTGGCTGCCGGACAACATTCCAGCCGATGCAGGCAGCGTGATCGTGCATGGCGATTTTCGCTTAGGCAACGTTCTGATCCACCCTACCGAACCTAAAATTGTTGCGGTCCTCGACTGGGAACTGTGCACCTTAGGCGATGGCCTGGCAGACCTGGGCTACGTGTGCCAGGAATATCACGGTGAGTCATACGAAGACGAAGGTCTCGCGAGTGTAGACTTTGAGGCCACCGGCATACCCACAGAGGCTGAGTTTGTTGCCGAATACTGCAAACATGCGGGTAGAGACAAGATCGACAAGTGGCACTTCTATCTCATCTACAACATGTTCCGTTCTGCCGGCATCATTCAAGGTGTTTATAAACGCGGATTAGATGGCAACGCCAGCTCTGCTAAAGCGCTGGAATACAAAGAAGCGGCAAGGACACGATCTGAGCGAGCGGTAGCACTGCTTGAAGAGTACCTTTGACCAGGTAAACAACACCCAATCCGCAGATTGAAGCTGCTTGAAAAAAGGCGCGTTTACCCCAATGTTTCCCCTAACTTAACCGCAACGTAGACCTATGCTCAGAATTGCCCTTTTCCTCGGTACCAACATCGCCATCATTGCGCTGATCAGTGTGGTTTTCCGCCTGTTTGGCTTTGAAGGATTTCTCGCCGAAAACGGTGTAGACCTGAATCTCCAGGCGCTGCTGGTGTACTCCGCAGTGGTTGGATTTGCCGGCTCATTCATTTCTCTTGCGCTGTCCAAGACCATGGCTAAACGCAGCATGGGTGTACAGATTATCGAGCAGCCTTCATCCCAGACTGAGCGCTGGATCCTGGAGACCGTTGCCCGCCAGGCTGAACAGGCAGGCATCAGCATGCCTGAGGTAGGCATATTCGATAGCCCCTCGCCCAACGCCTTTGCAACCGGCTGGAACAAGAACGCAGCGCTGGTGGCTGTCAGTACGGGTTTGTTGCGGCACATGGAGCGCGGTGAGGTTGAAGCGGTGCTTGCTCATGAAGTCAGCCATGCAGCCAATGGCGACATGGTTACCCTGAGCCTGATTCAGGGCGTGGTGAACACGTTTGTTATTTTCCTGTCGCGCATTGTGGGTCATCTCGTCGACCGGCTTGTTTTCAAAGTGGAGCGCGGACATGGCCCTGCATTCTGGATCGTTTCGATGGTCGCTGAAGTCGTTTTTGGCATGTTAGCCATGGTGATTGTTATGTGGTTCTCGCGCTGGCGGGAATTTCGCGCAGATGAGGGTGGCGCTGCTCTGGCAGGCAAACAGAATATGATCAACGCCCTGCGCAGACTGCAAAGTGCCAGCGACGCAGAACCCATGCCAGATGAGATGCGCGCATTAGCCATTAATGCTGGAAAGATGCAGGCGATGTTCTCCAGTCATCCGCCATTGGAAGCTCGAATTGCAGCGCTGGAAAGCAGTATCTAGATAACAAATGAGCCTACGCTGTTCGGTCGCGCAGGCTCATTATTTGTGGTCTATAACATCTCGCCTGCGATCACTTCCAACGCCTCAGGCTGCTGGCAACCCAACAACATGTTCGACACATGGCCTTTACTGTCAGCGGCTTTCCAACGGGCCAAACGCTCTTTAATACGCTCAGCAGGTCCCACCAGATGACAGGCATCAATGAGTTCCGCTGGCACAGCGGCCATGGCTTCATCTTTTTTGCCTGCCAGATAAAGATCCTGAATCTTCACCGCCGCGTCTTCAAACCCTAAACGCTTAGCGTAATCGTTGTAGAAGTTTTTGTCCCTTGCACCCATGCCACCAATGTACAGCGCCATGCTGCCACGAATAGGCACCATGCACTGTTCAACGTCATCACCCATAACCACTGAGACAAACGGCGCTATCTCAAACTGCGTGAGGTCTTTATCACCAGCGGCGGCAAAGCCTTTTTCAATTGCCGGCTGGAAAACCGAGTATTGCTCAGGATCCATCCATACGGGGAAAAATCCGTCGCAAACTTCAGCTGCGGCAGCAACACCCGCAGGTGTAATGGTGGCTGCATAAATCGGAATGTCTTCCTCACAATGCAGAATGCTTTTCAGCGGTTTGCCAAGACCTGTGGCACCCTCTCCGGTATAGGGTAATTGATACATCTTGCCGTCAAACGTAGCTGGTCCCTTGCGTTCAAAAATCTGCTTCATGATCTGCACGTATTCTTTTAAACGGGTGACCGGCTTGCCGTAAGGCACACCATGCCAGCCTTCAACTACCTGCGGACCAGAGGCACCAAGACCGACAATAAAACGTCCACCGGACAATTCTGCCAGACTCAAGGCGGTCATTGCTGCCATGGCGGGTGTACGCGCAGGCATCTGCATGATGGCGGTGCCAACTTTCATCTTGGTGGTTTGCGCAAGGATCCAGGCAGCGGGTGTAACGGCGTCGGAACCATAGGCTTCAGCGGTCCAGATAGATTCGTACCCCAAATCTTCGGCATGTTTAATGGCATCAATCGGTATGCTCATCTTGCGACCGGAATAGCCGGAAATTAAACCTAGTTTCATATTGTTTCCTCAAATCGTTGAAGCTGCGATGGTACCATTGTTCAGACTCAGCGGAGACCCATCATCAGCGACTCAGACCAACCCGAAGATTCAAAACCGGCAAGCCTTGCTGAGCACCCGCAGATCAACCCTCTATCTGTGCAGGCGGCCAGTCTGGTGCGCTCAATCGATGCCCTGTCGAACATCTTCTGGCTGTGTTTCCTGGGGTTTTTCCTCAGCGTGTTTTTTGCAGGATTGTCACAACTGGAAGGCAATGCCTACACCGACTACATCTTCCTCGGCGAATACCAGGTGCCCAAGTCCATTCTGCCTCTGGCCTCTTTGTCCTTTGCCGTCTTTGCATTCTGGATGGTCTCCAATCGCCTCAACATGCTGGCCTATGTGTTGGGCAGCAGCACCCTCAGTGGCACAGTCATGCGTGACATCTTTGCGCTGAACCCGCCGGTATTACATGTGTTCGATCGCGCGAATGCAGAACCCTGGTCGATGTTTACGGGCATCAGCGTTTTCATATTTATCTGGGCTGTGTTTTTTGGCAACGCCATCGCCCTTATCTGGTCCGGGGCCGTCGAGCAAGGCGTAGCCGTCGCCGAATTCGACCCGTTCCTGCTGGGCGTGTACTTTGTCGTTATTATTCTGGTGTTGGTTTTTGGCACCCGCGCCATTGTGCCGCCACTCAGTGCAATCTTGAGTACGCTGCATGGCAGCTCTTTTCGCATCGGCTGGCAACGTTATCTGATGGCGCTCGTGGTGCTGGTGACAACTGTCATGATCAACCAGTCAGAGCAGTTGTTTTCTAATTTTGATAACGAAGACAACGACCTGATCGGACCTGCATTTGCCAACGCCATAGATGGCGAAACGCTGTTTATTCGCGGTATTGAAGTGGCGCTGTTTGGTATCGATGCGGTAGAGCGTGATCAGATCTGTCAGGACAAAGACGGCAAAGACTACCCGTGCGGACAGCGTGCCACCCAGGCGCTGCAAACCCTGGTGCAATCCGAGCCGGTTGTCTGTTTACCTATTGTCAGTGTGAATGAGAGACGCGTTCTGGCAATTTGTGAAGTCACGAGCGATGTGAAAACCGCGCCTATGGCAGCAGCTGAGTTTCTTGAAGGTTACCGACCGGACAGCTTATCCCGGCTGATGATTGTCGAAGGCCACGCGGTTGGCGTCGGCTTAGGTCAGGAAGTATTCAGTGAAGAAGAAATTCAGGCACAGACTTTGCGGCGTGGTATCTGGCAAGGGTCATTCCAGCCTCCACGCCTCTGGCGCAGCTCACAATCCAGTAAATAGGATGCGCTAGGACTGGGGCGGCTTGTAGCCCAGGCAATACGCGACCAGTTTATTGCCATCCAGGTCACGGAAGTAGCCGCCATAAAAACCCATGGACGATCCACGATCATGGGGGCGGCCTTCATCAGTTGCACCCAGGGCCAGCGCTTTGGCGTAAAGCTGCTCAACCATTTCCGGGGTTTGCGCATCCAGGGCAATCATGACGCCATTGCCGGCTGTCGCCGGCTGCTCATCAAACGGCGTAATAACAGAAAACATCACGCGTGTGTCCGGCGTCCCCCAACCCAGCATGCGCTCATCCGTCATGGTCCGGCTTGCACCCATTACTGCGAGCAGCTCATCATAGAACGCGCCCGAGCGCTGCAGGTCATTGGTACCCAATGTGAGATAGCCAATCATCAGCGGGCTTGGATGTGCTTACGCCGCATGCCGTTCGCCGAGATAGCGCATGATGTCCAGAGATTCAAACATCCACTGCACTTCGTCTCCACGCTGTATGCGTAAACAGGGCACGGTGCCTCGACCGGTTGCCGAAAGCAGCTCGCGATAGGCCTCAACGTCCTGATTTATGTCACGCAGAGGAATCTCAATGCCGTTTTCAGCCATAAAGCCGCGTACGCGATAACAGAAACCGCACAGGTCGGTTTTAAATAACTGATAGCTTTCTTCAGATTGCATTTTGAAGACTCAAATAGAGTGAAGTGCGGGAGCCTAATACCTGGAGAACCCTGGGGTCAATTAGGTAAACTGCGCGTACTACAAATTGAGGTTGTGCTCCGCATGGCAAAAAAAGACAACAAGGTCATCATGGCCCGCAATACCATCATCGCGTTTATCTCGGTGGTAGCCATTGGCATTCTGGCATTTGGTACCTATGTCAGTACCGATATGGGGGCCGGTGAGATTGCCGAGGAAAACAACGACTACCAGGTGATCGAAAACCCAAGGCCCAGACGTCCCGGCGATCCGATAGAAGTCATCGAATACTTTTCTTACGCCTGCATACACTGCAAAACCTTTGACCCGATTATCGAAGAATGGGCTGCTGAACAACCTGAAGATGTTGCTTTTTCACGCGCACCCGCCACTTTTTCGCCGATCTGGGCGCTGTTATCGCAGACCTATCTGACCTTTGAAGATCAGGGTGTGCTGGATCAGAACCACAGTCGCATGTTCCGTGCGATTCACGATGCCGGCCGTCAATTCTTAACACCGGAAATGGTGGCTGAATATGTTGATGGACGTGGCTTATCCAGCGCCGAATTTCTGCGTGCGTTCAATTCCCCAGCGGTTAAAGAAGCGATGCGCAAAGCAGAACGGGATCAGCTGAGATTTCAGATCGCGGCAACACCTTCACTGGTGGTTGCAGGCAAATATCTGGTGGGCATGAACAATGGTCAGCGACGTGCGCTGCGGGTTGTTGAACACCTGCTCGAACAGGAACGCGCTGCAGAGGACACAAGCACCTAGACTGAGCACCATTATACCGCCAGGAGAAGATAGCCACTCAGCTGCAATGCTTCGAAACAATAATCCAATAGCGTCACCTTTGTTGGCGCTGTTTGAATGCCCGCGATTAACAACAGGTTTGTGCCCAGGCAATAGATTATGGACGACGAGACTAATTCTGATGGCGTGCAGCGTTTCCAGACTGGTGGCGGTTTGTCGATTGCTGCAGCGCTAACGGAATCATCACCAGAGCTGTTGGTAGGGAGCGAGTTTAACGGCTACCGTTTGACGGACTTGCTGGGCCATGGCGGCATGGGCATGGTCTTTCGCGCCGAGCGGACCGATGGCGAGTATGAACGCACTGTAGCGCTCAAGGTGGTCACCAATGCGCTCGCTTTTTCCCGCTTTCAACGGGAACGGGAAATACATGCACAGCTGAGTCACCCCAACATTGCGCGTTTCTACGACGCCGGCACAAGCGAAGCAGGCGTGCCATATATCATCATGGAACTCGTGCCGGGCGATCCCATTGATATCTATTGTCGGGCGCAAGAGCTCAGCCTTAAAGATCGAGTAGGTTTGCTCATCAAGGTGGTGGAAGCCGTCGCCTATGCCCACGCCAATCTGGTGGTGCATCGAGACATAAAACCCACCAATATCCTGGTTGACGTAACTGCATCGCCGAAACTGCTGGATTTCGGCATTGCCAAATTCACCGCGGACGAAGGCAGTGAACTGACCGGTACCGGTCGGCCTTTGACACCGATCTACGCGAGTCCCGAACAGGCCCTAGGCCAGTCCGTGAGTATTGCCTCGGACATCTATCAGTTAGGTGCCTTGGTTGCACAGATATGTGCCGATAAGCCGCCTTTTATCGACACGACGTTAGCGGGTGCTATACACCGGGCAGAACAAGATTTCGCGCCGCTCCAGCCAGAGGTGAGGCGCCTTCTACCCGCAGACTTGTTAGCTGTTGTGATGCGATGTTTAGCGCCGAATCCAAGCCAACGCTACGCCGATGCAAATGCTCTGGCTGCTGAGTTGATCCGCTTTCAGGGTGGCTTTCCTGTAATGGCAAAAAACCCGGGGGCGGTGCAGCGTATGCAGAAACTGGTATGGCGACACCCGCTGGCCGCCACAGCCACCGTGTTGACCCTAGTGGCTGCGCTAACCAGTAACTATTGGTACACCCTGCAACTCAAACAGTCGAATAATCGCGCTCAAGTAGCCGCGGCCGAAGCTGTGGCGCAGCGTAATCAGGCAGAGGCCGAAGTCGCAATCAATAGCCAGGTGACTCAGTTTCTCATTGACCTGTTCGAAAGTTCCGATCCAGTATCAGGTGATCCTGAGGATTTCACCGCAGCTCAACTGCTTGATCGGGGGGTGGCGAGCATAGACGCATTAGATGAGCAGCCACGAGTGCAGTCTGCGCTGAAACACACTATGGGTGAAGTGTACGTAACCACCGGTCGATATGCGGAAGCGGTGCCACTACTAAAAGATGCGTTGCTCAACAGCACGTCTTACCCACAGCGGGTCCGCGTGAGTATCACTTTGGCTAACGCTTATCGCGAGCTACATGAGTACGAAACCGGCTTGGTCCTGCTGGAGCCATTGGTTGCAGAACTCGATCGGAATCCCGCACTGGTTCCCCAACGGGAATACTATGCTGCACGCTACCAGTTGGCGCTCTTGTATACCGGAGCGGGTTCTTACGATAAAGCACCTGCGCTGTTGGATAGATTGGTTGCAGAAGCAGACCTGGTGTCGATTGATCAGCACATCAGCACCTTGCTCGAACAAGCCTCCCTCACCAACAAACTCGGCGATTGGGAAGCAGCAGAGCAGCTTTATCAACAGGCGATTAATCTAGAGCTGAAGCAGAATGGATCCGGTTCGTACAAAATGGGCAAGATTCATCAAAACCTGGGCAATCTCTATCAATTTCGCCAACGCCTGACAGAAGCGAAAACGGCCTATCTATCAGCGTTGGCAAGCTTTGAAGCGGTTTACGGTCCGCAACACCCTCTCGTAGGCGGCGCTATAGGCAGTCTGGGAAGCGTGGCGTGGCGTCGGGACGAACTGGATGAGGCAGCGGCATACTTCCAACGCGCGGTGGATATCCTTACTGTCACGGTGGGACCAGATCACCCAGACACCGCCAAAGGTTACGGGTCCATGGGTCTGGTTTATCTTGACTTAGGGGAAGTTGACAAAGCTTTTGCCGCTCTCAAGCGTACTAACGAAATATTCGAGCAGCACTATGAGCCGGAGAGCATTGATCTCAGTACCAGTAGGAGTTTTCTGGCCAAAGCGTACCAAGCCAAGGGTGAGCATTATCAGGCTGAAGAACTCTTCAGACAGGTGTTAGAGACTAGACGGAAACTCTTACCAGCAGACAATCTAAGCCTGCTGGATACGGCCCATGCCTTGCTCAACACATTGAGGGCCCAGAATAAACTCGCAGAGGCGGACGCGTTGGAAAACGAAATAGATTTCACACCGCTACACGAAGCTTTGGCTCGGACCCATGAATGAATCAGTCTGGGGCGGTGAAGGCGGGAAAGAGTCAGGACCGGGGTTTGCGCTAAGCTTCGCGCGTTATCGACGTTGTTTTTATCTTGATGATATGGGCACGTCTGATGGAAGAAAAAATTGAGGAGAGGTGAATGTTGAACCTGGCGAAAAGAAGAGCGCGTGGGTTTAGCCTGGGAGTAGTTTTGCTCCTGTGTGCATGTGGTGACGATAATACAAGCGGCGAGCTTGCGAATACCCCGGAAAATCCGGTACCTGTAGCAATCCACGCCGATGTCGTGACTACATCCGGAACGGTGCGTGGCGCAGTGGATAACGGAGGTTTAAAACAATATCACGGCATCCCTTATGCCGCCCCACCGGTAGGTGATCTGCGGTGGGCTGCACCGGTTGCACCCGCTAAGTGGACCGATGTGCGGGACGCAACTCAACCAGGCCCCGCTTGCATGCAACCTTTGGGGCAAGGCGGCTCGTTCTACGGGAGCGGTGATATTGCCATGTCAGAAGATTGCCTATTCCTGAATGTCTGGACCCGCGCGACCACGACGGATGCTGCACTACCGGTGATGGTCTGGATTCACGGTGGTGCACTGGTGACAGGTTCTGGTGATACCTACCCTGGTGAAGCGATAACGCAAAAAGGGGTAGTCCTGGTCACGATCAACTATCGGCTCGGGCGCTTCGGTTTTCACGCCCACGCAGATTTAAGTGGCGAACATCCAAAGGGTGTGTCCGGCAACCAGGGGCTGCGCGACCAGATCCTGGCGCTGGAGTGGGTCCGTGACAACATTGCAGAGTTTGGCGGTAATCCAGATAACGTCACCGTTTTCGGCGAGTCCGCCGGCAGCTTGAGTGTGTCATTATTGCAAGCCAGCCCCCTTGCAAAGGGTCTTTTCCATCGTGTTATTGGTCAAAGTGGTGGCGCATTCCAACCCATGTGGTTCCGTGATCGTGAAACAAGCTATGCCGCTTCCGCATATTCACTTGGCGCCAGTTTTGCAAGCGCACTCGCTGGCGAAAGTATGGACCCGAGCCTGAGCAATCTCCGTCAACTGTCCGCACAGCATGTACTGGACACCTTTGGGTCGAACCCGGAGTTTTCGAACTACGACAGCCTCGCCATCGTTGATGGTGAAGTTATTCCAGCGGAAGTCAGTCAAATATTTGCAGCAGGCAAACAAGCCGATGTACCCGTTATGATTGGATCCAATGCCAACGAGGGATCAACCTTCCTGGAGTTTTTTGAACCCATTTTCGGTGAAGGTGCCGCAGGCTTTACTGCCTACGCTCAGGCGACGTTACCCGAGGTGGCGGATGACATTGATACATTTTACTCCCCAGCGTCAGCGCGTGATACCTGGGTAGACTTGTTATCAGATGTGTTATTCACTCAACCTATGCGGGTGTGGGCTCGAAGTATGGCTAACGTTGAGAGCGATGCTTACCTTTATTGGTTTACGTGGGCACCGCCGATTCCTGAACAGGAAAAATATGGCGCGTTCCATGCAGCGGAAATCGGCTACGTTTTTGGCGTACCCGAAATGTTTGGAGCCACTCCCACCGAGGCGGATCACAAATTCTCGGATCTCATGACCACGGCATGGACGCAGTTTGCGAAGACGGGGAATCCCAATAGTCCTAGTTTACCCAATTGGCCTGCTTATAGTGGTGATACAGAAGCGTACATGGAACTCGGAGTGGACACCGGCAGCAAGGCGGAATTACGTATCGGGCAGACTGGTCTTATTGAACAAGCGTGGACGCAACGCCGCAACGGGGAAACAGCCATAGGCGAGTAGCTAATCGCACGCGGGTGCCGTCCCTCTGGAAGCACCTAATTATGCCGCCGCCCGGTTCAAACCAAAAGTAAAGCAGCTGCCCTCTGCAGCAGTTGAGGTGACCGCGATGCGCGAATCGTGTAACTCAAGGATGCGTTTCACAATGGCCAGACCCAACCCAGCATTGTCAGTGACATCTGCTTCTGATGCATGGCGATCAAAAATGGTAGGTAAAACATCGGCGGCAATGCCACATCCGTTGTCCTTTACTGCAATATCAATCGAGGAAACCCTCGCAACAAGACCAATTTCAACGCGGCCGCCTTCGGGTGTGTATCGAAAGGCATTACTGATCAGATTCTCCAATACCCTTTGAATAAGGCTGATATCCGCTAGCACGCCAACATTGGCGCAATCTTCGAGCCCCTGAAAAGACAATATGATCCGTTTCTGTTGCGCAGCAAGTTCAAACTCCAGGCCCACGTCATGCAGCAGCTCAGCGATGAGAAACGGCTCAATCTCGGGCTGGACGGCACCGCTATCAAGCTTGGCCAGCTCAAACAACTGGCCCACCATCAGGTTCAGTCGATTAGCGTGTCGGAAGGCAATCTCCAGATAACGACGGCGTTCCGGCTCTGCCAGATCGACATCTTTTATCAATAAGGTTTCCAGATAACCCTGCATGGATGCCAGAGGTGTCCTGAGATCATGGGATACATTGGCAAGCAACTCCCGTCGCAATCGATCATTGGTTTGGACCTGTTCAAACTGGGCTGCCAGCCGTGACGTCAGCTGCATGGCCTGGGCTTTCAGCTGGCGAATCTCCAGTGTGTTTTCAGGTACGGCCTGGATGTCCCGATCATCCATAAACCCACTGTCGGTGTACTTACGCAGCGCAAGTTGCAAAGCATCCAATGGCACCGTCGTTTTACGGATGACATAGATACCCACAAATGCAGCGAACAGAAGCACAACCAGGAGAATCGATCCCGCCATACGACTGATAAAAGACCCGAAATAGGCGTCCTGCACCGCATCAAAAAGGTAGCCGCCTAAAACCACATACAGGTAACCCTGCAACTGACCTGCCGTTTCTATGGGTGAGGCACTAAACGCCTTACGCCGCTCAGAACGAGGGTCATCACCCATCACTAGTTCTCCAGGCTCAGCGGACAGAAAGGTCAAAATGGGTGCCAGTGCGACCTGTGGCGTTAGAACCGTTTCTGCAGGCATCACATGTGCAACAATTCGACCTTCTGGATCCAACAGATACACTTCGACACTCGGGTTAACCGTCATGGCCTGATCCGCCAGGGCTCTAAACGCCTGATCGTTCACCTTGGCATCCTCGATCAGTGTCAAACGGTCAACCACGTACATCGACAGACTTGCGTTCAGGGTTTGATTGACCTCATGAAAGTATAATTGCGAGGCGTAGCGTCCGGTCCACGCTATGGCAATACCCAGACCGAAGAGCAGCATGATCAGTGCCCACGCCAAGCGCCATTTAAGCGACATGTTCTAAAGACAGATCGTCGTTGAATTTGTACCCGACACCCCAGACGGTGATAACGTAGTCGACACTATCATCTGCCTGTGCAAGTTTTGTGCGCAAGCGATTGATGTGGGAATTGACCGTATGCTCGTAACCTTCGTAACCAAAACCCCAAACCTGATCTAACAGTTGTACACGTTTAAACACCTGGCCGGGAGCGCTGGCAAAGAAAAGCAACAGATCAAATTCTTTAGGGGTCAGTTCAATGGCTTTTGCGCGCACCTCAACTCGGCGCCGCGCTTCATCGATCCAGATGTTACCGATACGCCGAGAAGCACTGCTGCGCTCTTTTTGCCGATCTAACGCAACCCGGCGCAGTAGAGCATGAACCCGGGCCATAACCTCGACAACGCTGAATGGCTTGGTGACATAATCGTCCGCGCCAATCTCCAGACCTAACACTCGATCCAGCTCAGAACTTTTTGCGGTGAGCATAAGAATAGGGAGTGCGTTGCCTTCCTGACGCAACGTGCGACAGATTTCCAGCCCATCTACACCATTCAGTCGTAGATCGAGAATGACCAGATCCCAGTGAGCTCTGCGCAGTTCAATCAGTGCCTGTCTACCATCCAGACAATGCTGGCAGTCAACTCCCCGGTCCTGCAGGTGCATGCTCAGCAGCTTGCCGATATCAGGCTCATCTTCTACGACCAGTACACGTTTGCCTTCCATGCCTCGCCTCTCTCCCAGGTGTCTGAACATATTTCGACGCCTGTCTTTGTCGATAGTTCACTGCACGCTGCAGGCAAAACTTCACAGAAGTATCACGGCGCAGTGTTTATTGCCGTGAGGGTTTTGTGATCTTTGCGTGAGGATTGAGCCATCACAAAACTCTAACCTGATCTGGCGCAATGACATTGCGTTCAACACTACATGAGGAGACGAAATGAGATCAGTAATCACCGCCTTGGTGCTACTTGGGTTTACAACCAGCGCTTTCGCCACTGACAAGGCAACAGCAGTTCCCGAATACAGAGTTACCATTACAAACATCACCAAAGCATCGCAATTCACGCCAATTCTGGCGGCAACCCATCGTGCATCGATCCAGTATTTCGAGTTAGGTACCCCGGCCAGTCCAGGACTGGCTTTGATGGCGGAAGATGGCAATGTCGCGCTACTTGCAGAGGAGCTGACTGCGACAGGCAAAGTACTGGATGCTGCCAACAGCGCCGACGTGCTCGGCCCGCCACCGCTTTTATTTGCAGGCCAGAGTGTGACCTTGACGCTACGGAGCCCAACTCGACATGCACGCCTGAGCTTAGCCGCAATGATTCTTCCTTCGAACGACAGCTTTGTAGCGCTCGACTCAGTCAGTCTGCCTCGCCGGGGGCAGAGAACCTATTACGCCCGCGGTTACGACGCAGGTAGTGAGCCGAATGATGAGTGGTGTGCAAACATCCCGGGACCAACCTGTGGAGGCGCTGGCGCTTCTCCCGAAGAAGACGGTGAAGGATTTGTACACGTAGCCAACGGCATTCAAGGAATAGGCGATTTGCCTTCCAACACCTACGACTGGCGCAACCCCGTAGCCAAAGTTGTGATACGCCGAGTTAAGTAAACTCGTCTAATTACGCTGTCGGGCCGGGCTCTAGCTGGCCCGAGAACTTTTATCGGGATCTGCGCAAGCGCGGTAGAACGTTCTCAGCAATATAACGCATACGTTGCGTACCGGACTCCACGGACTCACCCGGGAACTGAGCCCAGAAGTGGATATCTCGAATCATCGGATAGTCGTTCATCAGCGCACTCAATTTTTGAACCGCAGTATCAGCATCCCATAGTTCGTAAAGACCATTTTCGATCGCGCTTGGCGCGTCTTCAAACAGCGGAGTCTGATCCGGCGGGCCAAAAGCGCCCCACTTTATGTATTCGTTGGTCTGATAAAGCACATGTTCACCGAGCCGAGCCGCCTCTGCCTCCGGGTCTTCAGCGATGATGGCCCAACAGCCCAGCATCACATTACCCTCGTCAGGTGCTCTGCCATGCCGCGCAAGTGCCTGGACATATAGATCCAGACCGATGCCGCCGGTGCACAGAAAGCCATCGGCAATGCGGGTCGCACGGTCAATCGCTGGCTCGACCATACCGCCAAGCAGTATTTTGGGTGCATGCACCGGAGCAGGTGTGACGGGGAGGTTGCCGACATTGAAACGTTTGCCTGAAAAGTTCACCGGTTGCCCACTCCAGCAGCGCCGTACCACTTCGATACCCTCCTCCATAAGTGAAGGTCGATGGGATAGTTTGCGCTGAAACTGATCGAACTCGAGCTCGCGGTAGCCAATACCCACACCAAGATCAAATCGTCCGCCGGTACACAACGACAGCGTTGCGCTGTCTTCGGCGATACGCACTGGATCATGCAGCGGCAGTAACATGAGGTTAGTACCGATACGCATGCGCTCGGTACGCGCCCCAATCGCCGCGCCCAGCACCAATGGGGAAGGTGTATAACCATCCTCACAGAAATGGTGCTCGGTGAGCCAGACTGAATCAAAACCCATACCCTCAGCTTGAGTTATCTGAGCCAGGCGTCGCTCGTAGAACTGTTCAAAGGGTTCAAGCCATGCGGCGGGATTACGAAAGTCATACCAGAGACCGAAATTAACCGACTTGCTCATGACCTGCTCCCTTCAGACTTAAGAAGTGGCTTTGCGAACTGCAGGAGTGCTTCGAGATATTGTGCTTGCGCCTCGATAAACGGCGCATGGCCAACCCCGTCAAACTCAATCACACGCGCCTGAGAATGATGCTCATCCACCCAGCGGCAGATGGGCGGCGCTACAAAACTATCCTCGGAGCCGACAAAAGACAGGATGGGCAGGTCCAGCGACTTCAACATATCGCGTTGATCGAGCGTCGCCAGCTCCGCCAGGGTGGCGCTGGCTGCAGGAGAGGATTGGAGGAAAATCTGCCAGAACCAGTTTTCAATATGCGCGCCCACATCGGTTGCGCAGATAATTTGTGACAGACCGTGCAGGAAGTTAACCCGATCTGTGGATAGCGCCGCCAGGGTAGCTGACATGTCGGCTTGCGTACCACCATGGGCAAAGTCAGGTTTTTCGACATAGACAGGTGTAGCCCCGCTGGTCAGAACAAGACCACTGCACCGCTCGCCAAGCCTGGCTGCAGCTTCAACCACCACCGCTCCGCCCAGGGACCAACCGTTAAGGACAGCTTTTTCAAGCGCTAACAGGTCAATCAGCGCAACTAAATCAGACGCGATGGCATCGATACTCATATCTGCGAAGTCTTTATCTGACTGGCCACAACCACGATGGTCCAACAGTACGATTCGCAAGCCCGCGGCACTCAGAGCAGGAAATACATGATCCCATGTACGTACGCTCATACCCCAGCCATGCACCAGCACAATGGCGCAGGACCCTCGGCCATAGTCTTCGTAGTAGACCCGCTTATTGTCCTCACGCTGCAGATAGCTCATCGCATTACCTCCCTGTCCGGGGTGTCTCGACCCCATTTCCACCAGCTAAGTACCGGTGGCTCCCCACCGGCAATATAGTCGTCCTCAGCCGAAAGTTAAATTAGGTTGAAGACCTGCTTCACCCTGGATCTTTAATCCACTACCTTTAGTGCTCGCCAACAGGCGATGTTCAGGGCGTTGCAAACTATGGGGGGAATAGTCATGTCCATACAGCCACCACTGGATTTCGACGCGATCGGCGTCGGCGCTGGTTTTGCCGGACTTGCTCTGGCCCACCATTTACGTGAAGCAGGATTGTCGATTCGCATCTTCGACCGCGCATCCGATATCGGCGGCACATGGACGTGGAACCGTTACCCGGGCGCTGCGACAGACAGCGAGGGTTATTACTACTGCCTGACCTTCTCGAAGGAAGTGTTGCAGGAATGGTCCTGGTCCCAGCGCTACCCGGGATGGGAAGAAACCCATCGCTACCTGCACTTCGTCGCTGACAAAACAAACCTGTGGCCACATATACAGCTGAACACCGAAATTGTTGCTGCGCAATATCAGGAAGACGCTGGATACTGGCGCGTTGTTACCTCTGCGGGTGAGCAATACACCTGTAAATACTTCATCAGTGCCATGGGCATGATTTCGCACCCCTATATGCCGGATATCAAAGGCATTGATACATTCAAAGGTCCTATATTCCACTCTTCACGCTGGCCGCAGGACGGCCTCGACTATGCTGGAAAGCGTGTGGGTATTATCGGCTGCGGTGCAACCACGGTTCAGATGCTGCCGGTCATGGCCCAAACGGCAGCGGATGTTACGGTCTTTCAGCGCACGCCGAACTTTGTCATGCCTGCCGTGCAGGAGACAACAACGCCTGAGCGAGACAAAGAGATTAAGGACAACTACGAGGACATCATTGCCAAGTGCCGGAATCATGTATTCGGCATGGCCTTCGACAGCCCTGTTGGACGCAATCTTGCTGATACGCCCCCAGAGGAAGTACAGCGCATCTTCGAAGAGCACTGGCCAAGAGGCAGCTTTCGCTTTGTTTTCGAAACGTTTGATGACTTGTTATCCAGTGCAGAATCTAACAAAGCAGCAGCCGACTTCATCGCCAGCAAGATAAAAGAAAAAGTCAACGACCCGGTTGTAGCTGAGTTACTGACCCCAAAAGGTTATCCCCTGTTTGCCAAACGCCCACCGCTGGACCACGGATTCTACGAAGCTTTCAACCGCGATAACGTCCACCTGGTCGACATCAAAGACACTGAACCCCTGGTTGCAATCACGGAAACCGGCGTGCAAACAACCAACAATTTATATGAGTTTGACATCATCGTGCTGGCCACCGGTTTTCAAGCCTATACCGGCGCACCTGAAGCAGTAGACATCCGGGGTTTGGACGGCGTCCTGCTGAGAGACAAATGGCAGGACGAATCCGCGTCGATCATGGGTGTCTGTGTGGCTGACTTTCCAAACCTGTTCCTTATCACTGGTCCTCAAGCCCCGTTTGCCAACCTTCCCACATCTATAGAACAGAACATCCTGTGGATTACCGATTGTATTAAGAAAATGCAACGCGAGGATTACGATGTCTTTGCACCACGACTGCAGGCGCAGGAAGAATGGTCGCAACACACTGCCGAAATCCACGCGCAGACGCTGATGGCGCAAGGTGACAAAGTGAACTCCTGGATGATGGGCGCCAATATTGAAAACAGGAAACCCAGGGTGCTTATCTACTTCGGCGGTGCAAATGTGTACTACGACAAGCTACGCGAATCTGTGGAAGCAGGATTTCCTGAACTTGAGTTTGAGCGATTGGAAGCCTGAGCCAACCCTTGCGATACAAGAGGAAACGATATGGACAAGATAAAGCTTTTGATCTGCATGATAACACTGGCGTTCACTTTATCCGCGACAGGCGCGCCTGAATCAGCTGAGCCCCAGAAGCGAATCGCCCCAACAATGCCAGAAATTGTATACCGCGACGATGCGGACATCGGTTTGCTGGCGCGCTTCCATTTTGCAACCCACACGCGGGACTTTGATAAAGCCCGGGCATTCTACAGACAACTTGGTTATACCGATGGTGTGTCGGGATTTCCGCTGACCAACACCCATCAGATGGCGCGCGCCCTGGGCATGTATGACTTGTGCCAGTATGAGCTGGTCAAAGGCGAAGTAATCATGCTGCCGGGCAGCCCGGGAAGTGGCGCGATCGATCTGCTGCAGTTCAAAACCCCATTCAATGGCGAGGCGCCTTACGAACTACCCAATCATCTGGGCATGGCGTATGCGGCCTTGTTAACAACGAATCTTGATGCGGATATAGCTCACCTTGAAAGCCTTAACGTTAACTTTCTCAGCAAGCCCTACGGAGAAATCGGCGCGCGGTTTGTTTTCTTCCGCGATCCGGAAGGGGTTTTATACAAACTTTTCGAAATCGCGCCACCCATCGTGGCAGACACAGCCACAACGCATATAACGGGCATGCCTTACATAGGCGTGAATGTCAGTGATTTTGAGGTATCACTTAAATTTTATGCTTCGCTCGGCTACACAGATGTGCAACCCCTGCCCGAGACCGGCACGCTCGAGGAAGCGCAAGCTTATGGCCTGGACCAACCCTTCCGTATCAAAGGTGCTGACATCTCCATCACCCGGGGGGATAGACATACCCTGCGATTGGTTCAATGGCTTGATCCATACAATGCCGAACCCCCCTACCCGCTGCCGATCAACCGCATCGGTATAAATCGCATTGCATTAATGGTGCCGGACGTTGATCGCGCGGTTGATATTCTGCATCGCCAGGGCGTGCCGTTTGTTTCCGAGATTGCCCCGTGCTGCTCAGGCAGCGGCACTGATACCACCGGCATTGTGCATGCCATAGATCCCGATGGCGTGTTCCTTGAATTTGTGGGCAGCATAGCCCCGCGAGGCTCTATCCCACAGCCCGAACATTGCCCGGCGCTTGAGATCAAGATGCCGCCAGCGGGCTGATGCATTAGCCCTATCGCCTACGGCGAGCGCTAAAACCCTGCCCAAATTTTAGATTAACTATCCGTTCGTCCCCTGAGGCGCACACCAGCGGGCCCGGGTTACAAACAGAATGGCTGCCATCACTGCGAGCACCGCATGCATGCCCATACCTGCAGCCTGGTCGCCGGCAAGCGTCAGCGAGACAAATATCGACACATGGAAAGTGAGTAACAACCCTAGCAGGGGTGTAACAACTCGAATTTCACTGCGGTAAGGCCACAACCATAATGAAACACTTGCGATAGTCAGCGCCGCAAATCCATAGTGCATCGACCACTGCTCACCCATACCCGCAGCAAAAATACCAGCTGGCCCGGTGATAAGCGCTGCAGCCGCCAGCAGCTCTATCGCGCCGTGGGCGATCAAAAAAATCGCGAACACTTTCTTCATTGTCTTCTACCTTTTTTGCTCAAGACCGCCACATGGAACTTACCAGTTCATAGTCAACGTCACACCAACCTGGCGTGGCTCTCCCAACTGGGTGAACACGCGATCGGTGTAACCGTCACGTGGATCATTACCAAAGAAAAATCCGCGCACAAAATAATCCTCGTCGCCCAGATTACGCGCCCATAACCTGGCTTGCCAGGCTGCAGCTGAGTAGGTGAGGCTGGCATTAACCAGTTCGTAGGCATCGGAACGCTGCGCATGGCTGGCGGAAAAGAAAAATTCATCTTTGCCTTCCACCTCGAGGCGCGCAGACCAGCGTTCGCTCACATCCCATTGCAGGCCAGCAAAGAACTGATAACTCGGCGCATGAGCTTGCTCCCGGCCATCCAGATCATTGCCGTTCTGATCCACGTAATCGCGATATTCAGAATCAAGCAACCCCAGATTGGCAAATGCAGAAAGCTGCTCGGTCAGCTGCAAGGTGGTCTCCAGCTCTATCCCCTGATTAAAGCCGTCTGCTGCGTTACCAGTGAAAACAATAAATTCTTCCGCGCCAGGTTGCCCGATGATGGGTACGGTCCGGGAAGTAGAAATCTGCACATCCCGTCGCTGCATACGGAACAGTGCCGCACGCAACTCCAGCCTGTCGCGCCAGGTGCGCGCCTTATAGCCCAACTCCACATTCCACAGCCTTTCAGGATCGAACTCGCGAAATGCTGCAGTTAACGAGCCATCCAGGTTAAAACCGCCTGCTTTATACCCCTGGGTAACGGACGCATAAAACAAACCACCCTGATTTAGATCGTACTCAAGCACCATACGCCCACCAAACAGGTCGTCCGCCGGGGAGTAAGACAGGCCGGAAATATCTTCGTAATCGGCGCTGTGTCGCTCGTACCGGACACCCAGGGAAAGCCGCCACTGCGCACTCAACTGCCGACCCACTTCACTGTAAACGGCATAGCGACTGACATCGTATTCACTGCTGAAGCGCCCGGCCGCAAATGTGTAATCACGGTCCAGCTCAACCGCCTGATCCAATAAATACACCCCCACCACCCAGTCCCAGGTACCTTCACCAAATCCCTGGCCAGGCTGGGATAACCAACGCAGATCAACAGTTCCTGTTGCACGCGTGCGTTGATAGCGATCCGTAGAGGTATAACCAATCGGATCAAAGCCGGTGAATGTCCAGTCTTCGTCGTAACCGTAATCAATGTCGCTGTCCGCAAAACTCAGCAGCCCTTCGAAGCCGACTCGTTCAGACAGATCCATTGCCAACGACAGCGCAGCATAATTGGTTTGTTGTTGGTCCTGCCCAGGCTGATCCGACAGCGTGGTGCGATCGTTGTCTAAAGAAAAAGCATCGTAGCCGTTGTCTACATTGATCCGACCCAACGAAAGGCTCCACAGCGCTGAGTCGGTCTGCCACACAAACTTGCCTCGGTAGGTAGATTCCTCCCGATTGCTGGTGTCGTCTTTATTGAGGAAGTCGTTCCGCATAAACCCATCATCCTGATACCGCTGGACGCTGATGCGATAGCCCCCTTGCGACCCCATCGGCCCTGAGACAATTGCCCCAATCCCTAAAGCGTCATAGTCACCCGCATCAAGCTGCAGCGCGGCGCTGTGCTCCGGCGTCGGCGCTGGGGTCACCACGTTAATCAAGCCAGCTAAAGCATTGGCGCCATACAGAGTGCCTTGGGGGCCGCGCAGTACTTCCACTTGAGCCACATCAAATAGAGTTGCCGCGGTGCCGAGCCCACTTAAATCGACCCCATCCACAAGCAGGCCGACAGAGGAATTCAGCGGATCAGAAAACTGGCTGCGCTCACCTACGCCGCGAATCTGAATAAATCGCGCGCGGGATGCGCCACTGGCAAAATTTACATTAGGGATTTGAGCCAGCACTTCTTCGAGATGCTGCACCGTCGTGCCATCTTTATTCGGCTCTACAACGGACGCGCTTGCCGCGGTATCCAGCACCGAGCGATCACGAAATTCCGCGGTAACCACAACCTCTTCCATCAATTGCGGGTTCACGTTATTCGCGGCAGACGCATTGGCTGCAGTGAAACAGGTCAGAAAAAGAATCTGAAAAATGGTGCTGGAGCGCATGGCACGGGTTCCTTAAACAAAAAAACAGCCTAAGGTGTGCATCTAAACGCCTATTCCTACGCCGGTGTTAACCGGATCAGGTTCAAAGGGTCCACCACATGGTGTCTCAGGCGCTCGGCCACCCCTTAGGATGCCGACATTAAGCCCAAACTAAGTTGCGCTGTCGAGCGACATTCAGTTTAGGTTCAACAAAGTTGTCTTAAATTTGGATTCTCATGGGCCGTGTCAAGCGCCCGCCAGAGCTAGGGAAAGTTAGTAATATGCAGGAATATCAAGCACTTATTCAGGTCATCGCCCTTACCATGGGTGCGGCCTGGGCCAGCGGCATCAACCTTTACGCGACCATTGCGATTCTCGGTCTGGCCGGCAACAGCGGGTACATTGACCTACCTGAAACACTGGCGATAGTGCAGGACCCGATGGTCATCATTGCCGCTGGGTTTATGTACTGTGTCGAATTCTTTGCCGACAAAACGCCGGGTTTAGACACCGGCTGGGATGCGATCCATACCTTTATAAGAATACCTGCCGGGGCAATGCTGGCTGCCGGTGCTGTGGGTGACGTGACCCCCGCACTGGCGGTTGCAGCGGGCCTGGTTGGCGGTACGGTGACCGCGGCCACCCACGCTACAAAAGCAGGTACGCGGGTGCTCATCAATACCTCTCCTGAACCCTTCAGCAACTGGGGTGCCTCCCTTGCTGGAGACCTCGCCGTGTTTGCTGGTCTCTGGGCCGCGTTAAGTCATCCCGTACTGTTCCTGATTGCGTTTGTGCTGTTTCTCGGCCTGATGATCTGGCTGCTGCCAAAGCTGATGCGAGGTATCGCTGCTGTGGGCCGCAAAGTCGGCAGCTGGTTTAAACCCACGCCTGCAGCAGGCTGAAGCGGTTAAAAAATTCACCACTTTTCCATAAAAAAACCCGAGTTTGCTGGCACAGTGATAGGCTTGTCAGCACGCTCACGGACACCCTCTGACCTTGGCCGCTCGAAAAAAGAAAGTCACAAAAAAAGCCACCACTAAACCTGCCGGATCACGCTGGTTGAAACCCCTTCTTAAACTGGGTTTCTACAGCGCTCTGCTGTTTGGCTTGGCCCTGGTCGGCTACCTGATTTACGTTGACCGAACCATTACCCAGACTTTTGAAGGTCGCCGCTGGTCGGTGCCGGCACAGGTATTTGCACAACCTCTGGAACTTTATGCCGGCGCGCGCTTGAGCCGCGCAGAACTCACCATTGAACTGGAGCGCCTCGGTTATAAGCGACACGCCAACCTGCCACATCC